TACCTCTATTCCATTTGAAGATTTATATAACAAACTAACTGACCATGAAACTCTCTATAACGTCAATCATATTTGTGATGGCTTCTTCTCTATCAGTAAATCAATCCTCTTATAATCCTCAATATACCACTTGTTATATCTCCATGTATTCTTAATCTTGCTCGATGACTCTAAATTCTTCTCCAGCATCGATGTTTTGCCAATACCACCTATTCCACTTGCCACTTCCTCTCAGTTACAAGCCTCTTTTGATGATCCATTTTTTTTTTCTACAAGAATGATGGTTCCACCAATCGTTGCTACAGGTTATTCCTTCATATGTGACCATCAAGACTTCTATATAGCCATGCAACCTCCCATCTCCAACTGGGTGCTCTTACTCAGCACAAATACATCCTTAGCCCCTTCATGCACAAACATGACAGGCAAAAAGAATTCTATACTCCTATGTCAAGCACTCAATCTCTCATTCTTCATGATAGATCTCCCTTCCCGAACCCCCACTAATCATCAAAATTCTTAGTGCCCTTCAGTATCTATCCCTAAGTTGTCCAAATATCTCTTTTGTGGGTAGTAAACCTTCCTAATTCATGATTCGACCCTGTGAAATATATTGCATGTCATTTGAAGAATCTTTCATTTATATTGTCTACACCCTCGATTCACAACCTTGACTAATGTTGATTGGGCTGGGAATTGCAATCATTGCTCCTACACCTATGTATATATTGTCAACCTTAGTAACTTCCCAATTTCTTGAAACTCAAAAAAAATAAAAAATAAATAAATGATAAATAATAATAATAAACTATTGTTCACTCCTCTATTGAAGCTAAAAATGTAACACTTGCCTCAAGTTCAGCTAAGGTCCTTTGAATTTGTAATCTATTAAATGAATAACAAATTCAGCTTTCTTACTGTCCAAAAAACCTATGTAACAATCGGTGCTACATATCGCACTGTTAATACAATCTTTCACTCGCAAATGAATCATATCATCATTGATTGTCACTTTATATGGAATCATATCACTAATTGTCCATTTCCAGTGTCTTGCATCTCCTCAAGCAACTAGCTAGCCGATGCTCTCACGAAGCTACTATCATATGCCAAATTATACTTTCTACCCTTCAAGATCGAAATCTCTAATGGGAGTTTTGTTTTGCAGGGACCTATTAAGAATAAGATAATATATATCATAAAGATGACACGTGTGTGTGTATAGGAATGGTTCCTAAGTACTGGTGCTTAATATAAGCTAAATACCGGTGCTTAGGAGATCAATGTCGTATATATATAGCCAGTTTTGTAGAAATTAAAATTCAGATTTTAATTTTAGTCAAAATTAACAATTAATTTTAACCATATATTTCATAAGATCCACAATTTTTCAATTACACATTCCATCAATTTTTATAAAAATCTACTAAAAATCTGATTTTAATTCCTACCAAACAAGGACTAACAAACTCAATTAAATCATCCATGAAATTAATTATTAGTTCATTTTATTATTTCTATTTCTTGTATCAAAGCCAAAAAAATCACCCATTTGATTAAGAAAATAAATCTCACCTACATTTGAGAGTTTGTTAAATTTTATATGTATGTATGTATACCGAACAAACATTCAATTAATTAATATAGTATCCTATAGCAAATACTGAATTGAACAAACATGAAACATATATGCCGATGATGATACAAAGCCCAACTTGCCATCCTTTTCATGAAGCCTAATTCCAAAAACTTAAACTAATTGACCAAATATGAGTTAGAGTTGTGCAGTTTGTACATAAGCAATGTACAGAATGTATTATAGAAGCTGATGTGGATTTTAAAAAAGAATGGGTTAATTTTACAAACGGTCACTGAACTTAACTAAAAATCTCAAAACGGTCACTGAGGTTTAAAATCTCAAAACGGTCACTGAGGTTTAAAACTTGTAGCAACGGTCACTGAACTTACGCGTGCTTTCACTAATGGTCACTGATGGACCAAAACACGTGAATTGGATCCTTGAGGACCACAAGTATAAATTTTATCTAATTTCATTTGCTCAAAATATGCCCCTGAAATTTAGAAAAAGAGCCAAATTCCTCCCACCTTCTCCATATTTCGCCGGAGCCAGAATTTGTCAAAGTCGACCATCATACCACCGGATAAACCACGTGAGTTTTACACCACCAACACATCCTCATCCCCCTCCACAATCTTATACCAACAATCAACCAAAACACATCAAAAATCACATGAAATTCATGTTCAAAAAAACCATCCCCACCCACGATTTTACCTCCAATTCCGACCAATTTGAGATAAATTGGTGAGGACCCATATGTGCATCTTGTTCGCCATGATGAGTAGAAGGTAATGGTGGTGGTGGACGACCGTAATTGTTGACATCGACGCCTGAAATTTGGAAGAAAAATTTGTGGTCACTGCCTTCGAACTAGTATGGGATAGATTTTGATTTAAATTGTTTTGTAATGGTATGGGACCATGTACCTGTTCTTCTTGGGGAGTACTAATAGCCTATGATGGAGTTTTGGTATGGGTGATGGTGGATTGGCCAGAATTGGAGATAAAACCGTGCGTGTGTATGGTTTTTCGAACCTGAATTTCGCCATGATTTTTGATATGGGTTGATTGTTGGTATAGGATTGTGAAGGGGGATGAGGAGGTGTTGGTGGTGTAAAAGTCCGGTGGTTTATCCGGCAGTAGGGTGGTCGATTTTGGCTTTGAATTCGTCGGTGCCGAAGAAGAAAGCTGGAAAGGGAGGAAAAAATTTGTCTAAAGAGTGATTTGGTCCTCAAGGTTTGATTTTCACGTGTTTTGGACCTTCAAGTTTGAATGAAAAGCATAATGGGCCTTCAGTGACCGTTTCTGAAAGAAAATGTAACTTCAGTGACCGTTGCTGCAATTTTTAAACTTCAATGACCGTTTTGAGATTTTCGGTTAAGTTTAGTGATCGTTTGTGAAATGAACCCAAAAAAGAGAAATTCTAGACGCCCTGTTGATAGGGGCTGAGGTGGGCGTATCTCAGCCCCTGATCTGAATGTATCTGAAACAGGGCCCGTCATCGGGTTTCACGGGGTGCCTTTCTTCTTGGCACAGAAAGGGACACCGTGCGGCAGTAGTCTACTCCGCTAAACTACCTTCCGCCTTTTCTCGATCGCGTTGGGACGAAAGAAAATTTGATTGCAATTTTGTAGAAAGCTTACAATAGAGAATTTGAATACATTGAAAGTGAATTGAACATTGATTGATGAAAACTGAACATTACAATTGATGAAAGCATAAAATTACAAATGCTGGTGCAGGGGGTGGACACCAGTGAGCTTGAAAGATTTTTGAATGACTAATACCCCTTATAATAGCATTCTGAACAAAAACCTAAGTGACGGGAGTAAACGTTTAAAAGACGAGGAATCATACTAAACGTTTACCAATATCAGAGCTATTTTACAACTGAAATAACTATTACAATGAAAAGAAAATTACAACTCAAACTTGAAGTAATATTTACAACGTGCGGTCGAAGTTGGGCAAACTGCGGCTGCGATAGTGTCAAGAGGCTAAGTAAAGCTGCAGTCCTTGACATTCTCCCCCATTTGTTTTGGTAACGTCCTCGGTGCTATCAATGCATGATATGCTTCAATTAATGATTTGAAGGCTCCGAGATCTTTTTCTCTTTCCCAAGTATTCTCCTCGTTGCTGCATCCCATCCATTTAACCAAGTACTCCTGATGATCTTTTCTAGAAGCTCGAGTGATTCGATGGTCAAGAATAGCTTCAGCAACCTTCTTTCCAGCTTTCTTCAGTTCAAATATAGGTCGCTTTGGCTCATTTTTAGATGCGTCCTCCTTGTCCACAAAGTATGGCTTCAACACACTAACATGAAGGACCTTGTGGATTTTACACCATGAAGGGAGTTCAACTCTGTATGCAACTCTTCCAATCCTCTTCACGATGGGTAATGGTCCGATGTATTTTGGCGACAATCTTGAGTCTTTCCCTCTTGTTGGTTTGTAAACATTTCTGTCGGGAAGCTTAACCATTACCAGATCTCCAACATTGAATTCAATGAAACGACGCTTTAGGTCTGCAGCCTTTTTATACCGTTTTTGAGCTTTCTCAAGATAACTTCGAGCAATTTCAATATTTCGTTTCCACTCTTGAGAAAAGTTCTTTGCTTGAGGGGACTTGGTAATTAGTTCAATATCCACTGTATGAGGGAGTAGCGATTGCTGGCCAGTAACAACCTCAAAAGGACTCTTATTGGTAGAAGAGCTCTTTTGGGCATTGAAGTAAATTTGGGCCGCATCCAAAAGTTTTACCCAGTTTTTCTGCGAAGTAGAGATAAAGTGCCGAAAATATTCTTCTAGCATAGAATTGAAGCGCTCCGTCTATCCGTCAGATTGTGGGTGAAAACTAGAACTCATGCTCAAAGTTGAACCAAGAAGTTTGAACAACTCAGTCCAAAATATGCTAGTGAAACGGGGATCTCGATCACTGACGATGTCCTTAGGCAGCCCCCAGTATTTGACAATATGTTTGAAGAATAGTTGAGCTGTCTTTTCTGCAGATACATACTTAGGCGCTGCAATGAAAGTTGCATATTTTGATAGACGGTCCACCACGACAATGATAGTGTTAAAATCCTCAACTTTTGGCAACCCAATAATGTAGTCCATCGATACACTTTCGAATAGCCGGGTTGGGATGGAAAGGGGCTCCAGCAAGCCCGCCTTTTTCTGATAATCTGCCTTATCTTGCTGACAAATAAGACAAGTTTTTACATATGTTGCAATGTCGTCCTGCATTTGAGGCCAGTAGTATGCACGTTGTAGTAGTGCACAAGTGTGTTCCTCTCCGGGATGCCCTACCCAAATTGTGTCATGGCATTCCGTAATTAGTGATTTCCTCAGATCTCCGCCCTTAGGAACATATAGGCGGTCTCCCTTTGTCTTCACTAGTTCCCCATCGAGCCAGAACTGTCAAGTTTTACCCTGCTTGATAAGGTCGACCAAATATTGGGTAGTCGGGTCCTTCTCCATAAGTGCCCGAATTTGTTCTCTAGTGTTCGTGGAGACTGCGCTCCCTGAAAGAGCAGCTACAGAGCAGATGACAGCTAAATCGGTCCGTCGACTAAGAGTATCAGCAACATGATTACTAGAGCCGGGACGATACTCTAACATAAAATTGAACTCTGAAAGGAATTTCTGGCAACGAGCCTGTTTGCTCGATAGTTTTGGTTGGGACATGAAGTGACTAACTACAGTGTTATCTATCTTCACAATAAATGGAGACCCAAGCAGATAGTGACGCCATCCTTTAATACAATGGACAACTGCTAACAATTCCTTTTCATGTGCCGAGTAACGACGTTCTGTCTGGTTTAACTTCCGGCTCTCATATGCTACTGGATGTCCTTCTTGCATGAGGACTCCACCGAGGGCAAAATCTGAAGCATCTGTATGAATTTCGAATGGTTTAGCCATATCCGGTAAGGCTAAAATCGGGTTTGTCCACATGAACTTTTTCAACCTTTCAAAAACAGCTTGGCATTGGGATGACCAATCCCAATCCTTGTCCTTCTTTGTCAATTCAGTAAGTGGCAGTGCAATTTCTGAGTAGCCTTTCACAAATCTTCGATAGTAATTGCATAACCCAAGAAATGAACGTACATCATGTACGGTTTTTGGTGGTTGCCAATCTTTGATGGCTATAACCTTCTTCGAATCCATGCGAATTTTACCTTGTTCAATGATGTGACCCAATAAACTGATAGATGTCTGAGCAAATGAGCATTTAGATGGCTTAGCATAAAGTTCATTCTCTCGTAGCCGATTAAAAACTTGCCTCACATGGTAGACATGTTCATCCAATGTCTCACTGTAGATTACTATGTCATCCAAGTACACCACGACAAAATCATCTAAGAACCCGTGAAGTACCTAATTCATCATAGTACAAAATGTTGCCGGAGCGTTTGTCAAACCAAAAGGCATCACTTTAAATTCAAAGGCTCCATATCTGGTTACCACCGTAGTTTTTGCTTCGTCTCCCTCCTTGATCCGAACTTGCCAGTATCCGGACCTAAGATCAACTTTTGTGTAATACTTCGCTCGACTCAGTCGATCGAAGCAATCCACAACCAGTGGGATAGGATAGCTATTCTTTACAATAATCTTGTTTAAGGCTCGATAGTCGCAGCACATCCTAAGAGAACCATCGGCCTTTTTCTGAAACAATACAGGAGCTTCGTATGGCGACTTCGCAGGCACAATGATTCCACTCTCCAACATTTCCCCCAATTGCTTCCTAAGCTCTTCAAGCTCAGGCTGAGACATACGGTATGGTGCCCCGGCGAGAAGTTTGGCTCCTGGAATAAGTTCAATCTCATGATCAATCGTCCTTCTTGGTGGTAATTTCTTTGGTAATTCTTCCGGCATGATATTCTCAAATTCCTGAATAAGCCTTTTAACGGGTTTTGGAATAGGACCATTTGCTTCTTCGATCTCCTCTAATCGAAGAGTGCACAAAAAAGAGGGTTCATTTCTCTTGAAACCCTTACTAAATTGCATGGCCGAGATACTCTTCTCGCCCATCCTCCCAACCTGGGTAGGTATGACACACGGCTTATTACCCATCATCATTAACGAATCAAAATATGGCAACACTGCTGTCTTAGTATCCCGAAAAAATTCCAATCCTAGAATAAGCTTGAAATCATCCATCTGAACTGCAGATAAATTTGTCCTTCCCTCGAAAGGACCTGCTTTGATCAACACCGATTTCACCACTCCAGCTATTGGTTGAGCAGCGGAGTTGATTGCTTTGACCTTTCCACTACCCTTTTCTAGAACAAGTCCGAGCCGCTCTACTTCGGTATATGCAAGGTAGTTGTGGGTAGCACCAGTATCCACCATAGCCCTGATTGGCTTCCCATTGACTTTTACATCAATGTACATTAAGCCTTTGGCCCTACAAATTCGAGCCTTCGCTTCTTCCATCTTTGCCTCTTTCAATGGGAGATCATCCTTTTTAGCAACCCGATGCGACAGTGTGTTGCACCGATGTGAAAATGCCCCAACTACTTCCTCATCCTCTTCAGAGTCAGTCTCATTATGACAATTAGCCTGCGGGATCTCTTGCTTTGAACTTGACCCGTCACTTGCTAACTGACAATATGCATTCACCAACCGCTTTTGAGGACACTCCGACACCCGATGAGGTCCCTCACATAAAAAGCACTTCAATTTGGGAGTGGCATCAGTTCGGCCCTCTGTTGCTTTTCCTTTGTTCCAGTTGTTACTGTTACTGCCGTTGAAATTTCCTTGACGGCTATTAGGATAGTTTCCCTGAAAGTCACGGGTGCTTTGATAGGCTCCTTCTCTATTCTGAGAGTAATGCTCTCCCCCATTTGGGTTCGAGCTGGGTCTGTAAGATCTGTTACCACCTCCAATTGCTTGATTACTCCCCGAAGGTCGATCTTTTCTAGAATCTGTTTGGTAGTCGCTCAAGCATTCAGCGGCTCCCATGGCCGTGCTCAAATCAGTAACCTTCTGTCTTTGAAATTCTGTACGTGTCCATGGTTTCAACCCTTCCATAAAGGTGAAGAGTTTATCCTTTTCCGACATATCTCGAATATTCAGCATATGCCCTGAGAAGGATTTCACATACTCCCTGATAGAGCTCGTGTGTTTTAGGTCTCGAAGTGCCCGTCAAGCCTGATACTCGACATTTTTTGGGAAAAACTGCGATCTGATCGCTTCCTTGAGGAGATCCCAAGAATCAATTCGAATCTCGTGAGCCTGAATGTCGGCATATTTGGTTCGCCACCATAGTTTTGCATCTCTACCCTGATACATGGTAGCTGTGGTTACCTTTCTAACTTCATCTTCGATCGAAGCTGCTAGAAAGTACTGTTCCATATCAAACAAGAAGTTTTCGATTTCTTTTGCATCACGTGCCCCTCCGTAGGTACACGGTTCAGGAATTCTGAGCCTAGGAGCATACTCGGGTACGGGAGCTTGCCCATTGCCCACCGGACGTTGGAGTACCCGCAATTGAGCTCTCAACGCTTCCATTTCATCTTGCAGATCAGGAATGATTGTAGCAGTTTCAATCATTGCTGTGCAAGCTCTTTGGCTTTCATCCAATTGGATGTGTAATCCACGAATCTCAAATTCGGCCATCTCGACTTTTTCCTCGAGACCTTCCATAGCATAGCACAACCTAGTAGTTGTCTCATCAAGCGCATCCACGCGCTGTTTCGTAGTACCCTTCTTTTGAGGCTCTACCACTTCAGTGGTGTGGGATGTAATTGGATCCATAGCTTTCTTATCGAGGGTCGTGAGCCGCAGCTCTGATACCAACTTTGACGAGGTGCCTTTCTTCTTGGCACAGAAAGGGATACCGTGTGGCAGTAGTCTGCTCCGCTAGACTACCTTCCGCCTTTTCTCGATCGCGTCGGGACGAAAAAAATTTGATTGCAATTTTGTAGAAAGCTTACAATAGAGAATTTGAATACATTGAAAGTGAGTTGAACATTGATTGATGAAAACTGAACATTACAATTGATGAAAGCAGAAAATTACAAATGCTGATGCAGGGGGCGGACACCAGTGAGCTTGAAAGATTTTTGAATGACTAATACCCCATATAATAGCATTCTGAACAAAAACCTAAGTGACGGGAGTAGACGTTTAAAAGACGAGAAATCATATTAAAAGTTTACCAATATCAGAGCTATTTTACAACTGAAATAACTATTACAATAAAAAGAAAATTACAACTCAAACTTGAAGTAATATTTACAATGTGCGGTCAAAGTTGGGCAAACTGCGACTGCGATAGTGTCAAAGGGCTAAGTAAAGCTGCGATCCTTGACACCGGACCTTGTTTTTTTAGAAGAGCTCAGAGGAATAAAGGAAAAACACTTATCAACATACAGCCCTCATGTGGACTCCAACTGCTTCTATAATGCATCTTGTACACTGTTTCTAAAAGAACAGCTCTATGAATTATCGTAAGAATAATTCCCTATGTACAAGGAATGATTTCTCAGGGTATTTACAGACCCCCATGTTTTTTTTTCCAAAAATAAACTACTCATCCCATCTACTGTGTTAGTGATGGCAATGGGCTGAGCCGAACCGAACCGACTCAGCCCTTTAGCCCACTAACTCAGCTTGGGCTCATGGCTCGTGGAAGACGAGCCGAGCTCGAGCTCGACTCGACTCACAAGTTAGTGAGCTCACAAGCCACGAGCTCGCGGGTCGAGTCGAGCCGAACCGAGCTCACGAGCGGCTCGTGAGCTCGTGAGTGGGCCGTGTGCCCATGAGCCGCATGACGAGCCCGAACCGTCCATGAGTCGAGTTTTGACGAGCCGAGCGGTCAAGTCGACGAGCCGCTCGGCCCGTTTGACATTCCTATACTGTGTCTTACTTTTATCGACCTTGTGAAATCCGACCATTTACATGTAGTGCGACTATTATTGTAATGGCATTGTTGCCTGTCATCTGAGGCTAATGTGATTTGACGAGACTTGTGATCTTGATCACTCCTAGTCAGAGACATCTTACCTAATATGAACACAGAACTCAAAAATATCCAGTGTCTTATACCCTCAATCAACTCGAAATGTGTCATATCAATTTCAATCACCAATGATAAATCCCTACATCAGTTTCACTATTACACCACATTGTACTAATTTTGGTTGTGTTATCAAACTGGATTTTGCAGTTATTATGGTGTATGGTGAGGCACTGATTTCCACGTGGAATTTATTACCAATTAGTGACAATACTACTGGGCTGCCACCCTGACAATCTTCTTTTCATTAATGGAGGAAAAAAGAAAGAAAACTGATTAGTTCATGCCTTTTCTATATTCTCTGTCTTGCCTTATTCTATTCACCTGCACAGGCCTTTTGAGTCCATCTCCATGTGTGAGTCCTGGAAGGGCCTGTGTGCAGGAAGCTTTTTCCTATTCTATTTGCCTCTCTGTTTTTTCTATCTCATCGATCCATCTTTAAGTTCTGAAACTGTTGCAGTTACTGCACTTCAGTACAGTTAAATAAAATATTTTATTTTTGTGTTGATGGGTAAATTCGAAGCGTTTCCGGATTTATATCAGTGCCCGAAAATCCCTTTTGTTGAATATTTTGATTATGTATATTAGTGCATTTTGAACGAGCCGAAGATGAGCCCGGAGCACGCGTTCTTGGCCATTCTCTACGCTTTTGACGCACTATTCAGGCGTTTAGTTTCATTTTAAACTTATATTTAAGCAGATCCACAAAATTGATTTTAGTGTTACAAATGTCGAATGGGACTTTGTAACATATTTGCGTATACAAGGGTGGACACATTTATAGTGTTGGTTTTAAACTTTGATCTTCTGATATAAATATACAAGAATAAATTTTTCTTTTTAAAAAATTGGGGGGGGGGGGGTTTCAATTGACCCTATAAGACCTCCAGGTCTGCCCCTGTGCGTATGTTAAAGTTACGACTCGTGACATAAAAATCGTATATCGAACTAGAGCAAGACATATGAAGTGGGCTATAGTTATTGCATAATTGAATAGTTCTTTGCTATATATATAGTTCAAAGTGAAAATATTTTGTTATATTAATTTGTGGGTGAATTGGCAAGGAGGAGTGAACATTAGTGCCGTACAAATTTGTTTTAAAGTGACGAACTCTTACCTCAAACTACCAAATAAAACATCTTAGCAACCCCTATGAAAAAATTTAATTTCGCTTCAAGTCTTATAATAAATTAAGAAATTAATTATACATGTGCAAATTAATTAACAAGATATTATTTTGAGAAGAGAATCATTGATTTAACCAATGCCTTCTTTCTTTAATTTTCATCAACATTTTTTAAGAGTATCAATTCTACCTCTTGTGAATTATGCACAAAGTTCAAAATGATAAAATGATTGTTGCCTCGCAGATATTTTTATTTGTTATTTTACTCCTTCGTTCAAAGGTTTTGATTCTCATGATAGGTTTATGGTTAAGTTGCAAGTGTTCTACCGTTCGAATTTTAAAATGATCGAGCACTTTCAAATGCCACTTCTTTGCTATACAATTTCAAACGTATTCGTTATTAGAGTTACGTTTCATGACAACAATCACCTAAACGAAGATCGATCTATGGAGTGGGAGATAGTTTTTTGCATATAGAAATGAACCAACTTTTTGTCATATAACTTCTTAGTAGAAATACTTTGTTGTATTAGTGCAAGACAAATTTGTTTCAGAGAGTTGAACAAGAAAAAACCTAATAGAACATAACCTATTTGGAGTGGTTAAAAATAAAATTTTCAGTATATTTTGATAAAATATGATGAAAAGTGTGATTGAACTATTATAAATCTCATGAAATGAATTATTAAAATTAATTGTTAATTTAAATTAAAATTTTAAGACACGGCAAACATGGGCTAAGCTCCCGTTTGATTCTCATTCTTATAAGAATGAGAATGAAAAATATAATCGTTATGGAATCCACACAAGAGAGAGGAAATCAAATATGATGGCTTGATATGATAGATAACGATCATATTTTTCAATTTTTTGGCCAAAGAATGGAAAACAAATGGAGCCTAAAGGTCCATTTGATTGTAAAGATGAAATTTGGGTAAAAAGAAAACGAATTTTAGGGAATTGAATTACTTAAAAATTGTTTTCTTAGGAATTGTAAATTATTGTATTTGATAGACATAATTTTCTGTGTTCGTTTGTTGAAATAAAAGTATTTTTTTTTGTGTTCGTTTGGTTTTGTTTTACATAAAAATTGTCAATTAAAGAGATAAAATTTACTGGTATTGGGAATAAAATTTGTTTCCATTGCAAAAAAAAAAAATCAAGAAAACCATCTATCTTTTGGTATTCGTTTGGCTTTGTTTTACATAAAAATTGTCAATTAAGGGAAATATTTTTTCACAATAATTCTTTGAATTTATTTCTATTGCCAAAAAAAACAAAAAACAAAAAATGGAAAAACGTCAACAGCAACCGGAAAAATCAATTCCCGCCATACAAAAGCAAAAAAAAGTATAGCTCCCAAGAAATCTAAGAATTTATATTTCATGAAAAATAAACCTTTATCAAACACATCAAAGTTGGAAAATACCACCCAAATTTCATTTTCCATGGAAATGTTTTGCCAATCAAACGGTGCCTAATTGTATAAACCAATTAACAGAATTTCTGATTCCAATTTACTACAAGCAACTTCTTCCTAAAATCGTGTAGCAATAAAGCTATACGTACAGAATCTTCTTCACAGAAGCTCTACAGAAATTCAAAAAGAGGTGATGTGTTGCCGTGTGGTGAAAGGAAAAAAGAAAGGAACTGTTGGTAGAAAAAGGAAAGGATGGCCAGTTTGGAGGGAATTGTTTATAAATTCAATAAATTGTACGCTAGTCGAATTCATAAATTTTCTATATTCTCTTCAAACTCATTTCGAGAACTATATCATAAACATATCGAACGATCCAACTATAAGTAATGAGCCTGAAAATTAAGATAAAAACATAAGTAATTTATTGAATTTATAAACAATTCCCTCCAAACCAACCGTCCTTTCCTTTTTCTGCCAACACTTCCTTTCCTTTTTCCTTTCACCACACGGCGACACATCACCTTTTTTGATTTTCTGTAGATAGAACAGAATTTTCAATAAATTCATGCAAATTAATCTTAAACCTAGGGATGTCGAGCCGGGCCGAGCCGGCTCGCGAGCCTAATGTTTCGGCTCGGGCTTGGCCCGATTAAAATGGCCGAGCTTTTTTGCGGGCTCGAGCGCTCGACCAAAAACAAAAAGCTCGGCTCGGGCTTTTTACGAGCCGAGCTGGACAGGCCCGTTTTTTCTCTCTCTCTCTAATATGCTGCCTTTTAAAGGCAGCAAGCTGCTGCCTTTGCAGTAGCTTGTTGCCTTTTAAGCTTTTAATTTAAATTTTTTTAAAATTAAAATGCTCGCGAGCTCACGGGCCGGCTCGGGCAAAGCCCGTGTCCCCAAAATGGGGCTCGGCCCGAGCCGGCGAGCCCGATTATCATCCCTACTTAAACCTAAGGCTAAGAGGGGATAACCTTAAAAACAAAAATGAAAATGCGACAGTGGCAGTGGCCATGGCAGTGACAGTTCCTTCCTGACAATGGTGGAATTGTCTTTT